TTCTGTGCTGAATTCCCTCTACAATTCTCAATGGATTTGGTTCAAACTTTCACACAAGCTTTGTCATCAAGTGTCCTGGCGCATATTGTCAGGGTTTTGTGATTGGATAATATTTGACCTAATTATGGCCCTTTGTTTTTTTTCATTATACAGAATATAAAGTGAACAATTTCTATCGTGCGCAACTTCTCCTACATTTCTTAAAGGATTTTGACCAAACTTTCACAGAACCTTTGTCATCAAGTGCCCTTGGGCATATTGTCGGGGTTTTGCGATTGGATAATATTTGACCTAATTATTGCCCTTTTTTTTTTCTTATATAGAATATATAGTGAACAATTTCTTCTGTGCTGAACTCCTACAATTCTCAATGGATTTTGTTCAAACTTTCACAGAAGCTTTGTCATCAAGTGCCCTGGCGCATATTGTCAGGGTTTTGTGATTGGATAATATTTGACCTAATTATGGCCCTTTGTTTTTTTTCATTATACAGAATATAAAGTGAACAATTTCTATCGTGCGCAACTTCTCCTACATTTCTCAAAGGATTTTGACCAAACTTTCACAGAAGCTTTGTCATCAAGTGCCCTGGAGCATATTGTCAGGGTTTTTGTGATTGGATAATATTTGACCTAATTATCCCCTTTGTTTTTTTTTCATTATACAGAATTATCAATATAATTATAGTGAACAAATTCTTCTGTGCTGAACTCGTCCTACATTTCTCAACGGATTTTTGTTCAAACTTTCACAGAAGCTTTGTCATCAAGCACCCTGGCACATATTGTCTGGGTTTTGTGATTGGATAATTTTTGACCCTAATTATGGCCCTTTGTTTTTTTCTTATACATAATATTATAGTGAAACACTTCTTCAGTGGCAATTCCTCCTACATTATTCATGTTTTACATTGCACATAGTTACATTGTTTGTTGCTTGTATTTGTATTTCAAATACAACATATTTATCTACAATGGTGATAATTGAAAACCTGGTTTCATTGCATTGCCATGTTTCTTGTTACTTTTTGAAGTTATCCAGGGCATAACTTGGAAACCATACGGGATATCAACAAGAAACTTTGAAGGTCGATAGATCACATTGATTAGAAGTGCAGTGCAAAGAACAGTAACTATGCCTTGCCTAATTTTGGAATTATTGCACTTTGAACTTTTTCCAGGGACATAACTCTGAAACTACAAGAGGTGTACTTTCCTGTGTCCAAAACCTATTTGGGGAGCATCACCCAGCTCAAACTGGGCTCTTGTTTCCTTTACTTCCTATGTTGAAAATTCTGGTTGCTATGGCAACAAATACACTGAATTTCAAGATTTCTTATTCCAGTTTTTACGCTTTTTCATTATAACTTCTTTATTCCTTAAGGTATTTACTTCAAACTTTAAATATTAGTATCCGGTCATCAACCACATCATATTTGACAAGGTTCAAAACTAGGACAAAAAGTATCAGAATTACCTCCCTTGAACTTAGAATGTTCATGAATTTTATTTTTTTAATAACTTCTTTATTTCTTAATGTATGTTTCTTATTATCGCTCAACATATGTGAGAAAGTTCAATACTCTAGCAAGACATTTTCAGAATTATGCCCCCCTTGAACTTTTTTGAGAAATTGGTATTTTTCACTCCCAACTCCTTCATTTCTTTTAGGATTTACTTCAACCTCCCACATCATAATAATATGACAAGATTTTTATGCCCCCGCCATGTAATGGCCGGGGCATATAGTGTTACCCTGTTCCGTCATTCCGTCCTTCCGTCATTCTGTCATTCCGTCATCATCAGTTTCCGTTCATTATCTTAAGAACGGTTGGACACATTCAACTCAAACTTGACATATGGATATGTCATGAGAAAATACAGGTCAAGTTCGAATTTGGTCATGGTTCAATGATTTTTGGCAGAGTTATGCCCCTTTTACTTTGAAAATAATATGAAATTTTCAGTTTCCGTTCATTATCTCCCTCAAGGTATAACACATTCAACTCAAACATCACATATTGATGCGTCAAAGGAATGCGAAGGTCAAGTTCAAATTTTGTCATGGTTCGATGATTTTTGGCAGAGTAATGCCCCTTTCACTTTGAAAGTAATATGAAATTTTCAGTTTCCGTTTATTATCTCCCCAATGGTACAACACATTCAACTATAATTTGACATATGGATATGTTTTTGGAATGCCCCAGGTCAAGTTACAAATTTGGTCATGGTTTCAATGATTTTTGGCAGAGTAATGCCCCTTTCACTTTGAAAATAATATGAAATTTACAGTTTCTGTTCATTATCTACCCAACAGTGTTACATATTCAACTTTAATTTGACATATGGATATGTCAAAGGAATGGGCAAGTCAAGTTGGAATTTGGTCATGGTTTGATGATTTTTTGGGCAGAGTTATGTCCCTTTCACTTTGAAAATAATATAGATACATCTTAGGAATAAGCAGTTTAAGTTTGAATTTGGTCATGGTTCAATGATTTTAGACAAACTTATCTTTCCTGAATGTTGGAAAAATTTTGAACTTTCAGTTTCAGCACTCATTCTTTTAGCCATAATTTTTGGCTACAAATATGCAATATGCTATTTCTAAAAGGTTAAGACTGAATAATTTAACAGTGCCTTGAACATTGTATGGAAATGGTTTGTGTTAACATTGAAAAGTTTTAAGGGCTTTGGACTTAAAATGAAAAAAATAATTAATGCACCATCTGAAATTTTGGCTGCATGCGGGGGCATCAGTGGCATGATGACACATTTCTAGTTTTCAACAAATTTATTTAAAAGAGAGCAAAGTTTAAACATTTGTCATACTTCTTCATCCTGAGAAAATTGGACCCTTTGATTATCTATTGTATAATCATTATAATTTCCTTACTTGGCAGGGAAACTAACACATCACTATGATATAGACAAACTTAGAACTCAAAAGATTTAAGTTCATTGATGTCATTCATTCATTCAATGGTATAATTGAATGGCCAATGGCCCATCAGAATGTTGCTGGGGTTCTAACCAGTAGGGGACTTATGGATTGCTTGCAATACTATGATAATTGCTTGTTTATTTTTATTTTTTGCAAAGAATAGGATTTTCAACTTTGCTTATAGCATTGTTGATCTAGAATCATAAGATTGGTGTGGCATGGAATTTGGATGTAGGTCAACATCAGTCACATATTAGGAATGCCATTTCTGTGAAATCTTGCTGCCCATATAGTATAAACTTTAGTTCACCTGAGCTAGCTCAGTGTGAACTTAAAGGATCTTTGAATGTCTGACGTCCGTCCAAATTTGTTCGTTAACACTCTAGTTATCGCATTTTTGCCTCAATCATCATTAAACTTTGTCAGAATGCTTGTCTAGGTAATTGCTTGGATGAGTTTGAACATTGCTCATCTCAGATAAATAAACAAGGTCACTGGAGTTAAAAGTAGAAAAATCTTGTTAACACTATTGGCTTCTGTTTTGATATAGATATCCTGGAAATTGGTCTGAAAGTTTGTTTTGATGATTTCTAGATCAAAGTTGAATATGTGATACCTGGGTCACAAACTAGTCACACCCCCTAAATAAAATAAGACTAAGCCTTTATAATCAGGGAAGCGATATAAGGACCTCTTGTTATCATTGGTCCCCTGTTGTTGTGACATTGCCAGTGTCTTGTTTTCCAGTTTATTTTATTATCCTCTTATTTTTTAGCTCGACTTTTCTATGAAAAGGGGAGCTATCCTACTCGCCCCGGCGTCGGCGTCGGCGTCGGCGTTAGCGTTGGCGTCACACCTTGGTTAAGTTTTTCGTACCACCCCACTTTATTTCAGAAGTATTACAAGTATGGCTTTGAAACTTACCATACTTGTTCACCATCATAACCTCCATCTACAGACAAGAGTACATAACTCTGTCAAGGTTTTTGACAGAATTATGGCCCTTTTTTGACTTAGAAAGTGTATTGAGCTTGGTTAAGTTTTTTGTACCACCTCACTTTATTTCAAAACCATTGGAGGTATTGCTTTGAAACTGACCATACTTGTTTACCATCACGACCTTCATCAACAGACAAGAGGACATAACTCTGTCAAGGTTTTTGACAGAATTATGCCCCTTTTGACTTAGAAAATACATTGAATATGGGTAAAATCCACTTATTGCCTTAACCCTTTGAGATATTGCTTTGAAACTTTTAATGCTATTTCACATCATTACCCCCATCTGTACGCAAGAGAAGGTAAACTCTGTCAAGGATTTGTTTTAAAAATTAAGGCCTTTTATCGACTTAGAATCTTGGTTAAGTTTTTTGTACCACCTCACTTTATTTCAAAAACCATTGGAGGTATTGCTTTGAAACTGACCATACTTGTTTACCATCACGACCTTCATCAACAGACAAGAGGACATAACTCTGTCAAGGTTTTTGACAGAATTATGCCCCTTTTTTACTTAGAAAATACATTGAATATGGGTAAAATCCACTTATTGCCTTAACCCTTTGAGATATTGCTTTGAAACTTTTAATGCTATTTCACATCATTACCCCCATCTGTACGCAAGAGAAGGTAACTCTGTCAAGGATTTGTTTTAAAAATTAAGGCCTTTTATCGACTTAGAATCTTGGTTAAGTTTTTAGTACCAGTCCACTTTTTGACTGAACTGTTTGAGATATTAATTTGAAAGTTGGAATACTTGTTTACAATCATGATTCCCAAACATGTCCAGGAGAAGGTAATTCTGTCAAAGATTTTATTTGAATTATGGCCCTTAACTGTCAATGTTTTGTATTATAGGCAAGCACTAAAAAAGTCGAGCGCGCTGTCTTACGGACAGCTCTTTTTAAAATGGCTAGAAACAACAAAGACGTCATATTCATTCCACGGACTTAAAATTTTTAAAGTGTATAATATTGTTGAGTTAATATATAATGTATGTGCTATACCTATCTTGTTAATTTTACAATTTTTTTTTTTTTTTTTTTTTTTTTCATTAGCGCATAAAGTGACATTATTGAGAGAACTCAAATTGAAAAGATACTGGTACTTCAAGATCAAGGTCGAGGTGGAGAATTTCGGAACCAATGCCTTGATGATATTGAATTGGAAGGTGAGAAGAAAACAGTTCATCTATCATTCTAATCAATGCTTTTACAATTGTAGATTTGACTTTCATAAAAGAAATGATTTAGGATAAACTGTTAATCAGTGTTTGAAATATGAGTCTAGAGACTATTTATGTTTTAGCTCACCTACACAAAGTGACAACGTGTGATATTGTGACCACCTGATGTCATGTGGGTGTTAATCAACAATTGGCATGTTCACACTCTAGAGGCCACTTTTTGCACCAGTTTTCATAAAACTTTGTTAGAATATTTCTGACTTCTATATGAGATCTTGGTCACAAATTTAATAAACCTTATTAATACTCTACAGCCCTCATATATGGTCCAGTCTCATTGACTTTGGTCAGAATTAACAATTGACAATACATTGGCCAAGTTTGGAATTGGTACATTAAGGTCACCATGTCAGATGTTTATGCTTGAGAGGCTACATTTATGTGCCAATTTTCAATCTGGTGAGTAAATAAGAAACCTAGGTCACGACGTCAATTCTTACATGACTTAAATTTTGGAATATAAAACACAAGGCACATGTGGAAGTCACAGTTTATATCCACATTAAGGTTTATGTTCTTTGGCAGTATTTGATGACGTGATCAATTATTTATGTTTATATTTTTAGCTCACTTGAGCTTTTAGGATCATTGAATGTCTTTCTTCCATTCACATTTGTTTGTTAACACTATAGCAGTCACATTTTTGCCTCAATCATCAGCAAACTTTGTCAGGATGCTTGTCTAGGTAATTGCTCGGATGAGTTCGAACATGGGTCATCTCGGATGAAAAACTAGGTCACAGGAACTTAAAAAAAGAAAAATCTTGTTAACACTCTAGTGGCTACATTTTTTATCCAAATATCCTGGAAAATGGGCTGAGAGTTTGTTTTGAAGATTTCTAGGACAAGTTCCAATATGGGTCATCTGGGATCAAAAACTAGGTCACGTTGCCCAAATATGGAAAACCCTTGTTAACACTCTAGTGGTCAACTTTTTGACTTGACTGTCATGAAACTTGGTCAGGATGCTTGTCTAGGTAATTGTGTGGATGAGTTTGAACATGGGTCATCTCGGATTAAAAACTAGGTCATGTGAGCTAAAAATAGAAAAATCTTGTTCACATTCTAAAATGGCTACTGTTTTTATCAAAATATCCTTGAAATTGGTCTGAAAGTTTGTTTAGATGATTTCTAAGTCAAGTTTGAATATGAATCACATTGGGTCAAAAATGAGGTCACACTGCTCAAATAGGAAAAAACCTTGTCAACACTCTAGTGGTCACATTTTTGACTCGCTTGTCATGAAACTTGGTCAGGATGCTTGTCTAGGTTATTGTGCGGATGAGTTTGATGGGTCAGGTGAGCGATTTATGGCCATTTTGGACCTCTTGTTTTGTTAAATGTATATATCAGGGTGAGCGATAGCTCTAAGTTTATAGTTTTGATCATTAAGAGGCCAATGATATTGCTTCCTTTCAGAGGCATGCATATAGAGTATATATGGCATACATATGGCAAATTAAATGGGCCAAATCTGGATTTTCAGCTGGATTTTGAGGCTCAAAACTAGATTATTTTATTGACTTGAATTTTAATGCGTGTTTGGCACATTTGACTCAAAGAATCTATATTACCCTCAAAATCATTAAATGATCATATCTTTATAAGCCAGAAAGAATTTCGGGCATATTATGTTATACCCCCTGGTGTCCGTCTGTCCGAGCAAACATTTTGGGTTTAGGGGCTATATAACAGTAAAGAGAACAAAAGAGAACAATAGGTTCATTCCCTGATCAAAGGGTTTAGGGGCTAGCAGCCCTTAAGATAACAAAGAAAATAACAAAGAAAATAGCCCCTAAAGCCAAAATGTTGGAACGTCCTTCTGTCGGTCCGTTTTGTTTCCGGAGCATATCTTAAGTTCCATTTGGCCCACAGTCTTCAAACTTCATAGGATGATTGCCCATATTGGGTGGAAGACCCCTATTGATTTTTGGGTCACAAGGTCAAAGGTCAATGTCAATATTACCTTAAAACTGTAAACAGGCTTTCTACTGGTCCCTACTTTTCCTACTTTTCCCTACTTTTTTCTTTTGATCCCTACTTTTTTCTGAAATAGCCCTATTATCCCTACTTTTTCATTTTGAAATGAAATGAAAAAAAGAAGATATTTAAAATGGTATTTCAGTTGTATTTCAGTTGCAATTGATTAATAGTTCAGGTGTGTGTTAGTGTCTCCTTGTGATGTCCACCCTTGAAAGACTCATGGTCAGAGCTGCATTACTGGTACTAGTACTGCAGTATATACTGGAGCAATTATGCAAGTACTGGTACTGATACTGAATTACTCTTACAAAATTTTGCTACTACTCAGGTGCTGGTACTGCATTACTGTCTTAAAAAAGTGGTACTGCTACTGCATTACTAGGCAGTATTTTTGGTTTTGATAAAAATGTCATTATTTTTACTCATAAAGTAAAGCTGTAAATTCCACGTATTATTTTATTTTTGTGAAAAAATAAGTTATCAAATCTATAAATAATTTGCTGCAATATTCCTTCAAATGTTAACATAGTATTCATCATAAAAAAGCACCAAAGACTTAAAGTAAAATTAAATTGAGATAAACAGAGTCAATAACTCTTTACTGGTAAAATATCCTTATTGCAATTTTATTACTTTGTATTTACTAGTAAAAAAAGAGCAAAATAAACACTAATAAATTACTTCTATTCTAAATAATCATATTTCAAGTGATATTGTTAGCACCATAAAAAAGTTATTTACTTTGGTATAAATTGAACAGAGGTGTGAAGGTGTAAAAGGCAACAAAAAGACTGGTGGGTTTAACATGTAAGATTATTGCATTGTATTACAGTTGACTGCGGTTACAAAACAATAACATATGACATGAATATATGATGATTATTGTTTGTAAAAAGTATGTTCGTTCATTTAAGTTGTAAAAATGCAATGTCAACTTTAAAGTAAATGATTTTATTTCTTTGTGGAATAATGTTTGCAATTATTTTGAATGACACTGTGTATTTATTCAAACTTTGATGAATATATAAAAGTATTAGTACTGGTACTTAATTACTTCCCCCAAAAAAGTACTGGTACTGCAGTACCAAGCTAAAATCAAGTACTAGTACTGGAAATGGTACTGCAAAACTTGGCAAGTACTGGAACTGGTACTTAAGTACTACAGCCTTAGTACTGATGCAGCTCTGCTCATGGTGCCTTGGCAAAACATTCAGCAACATTCTGCCTATGAGGTGCATGTCTTTCAAGCATATTTACTGAACTGAAGATACACACAGCCTGGTGTGGTCTTGGTGATGGTATGTTTTGCTAATTCTTAACTAAAACGGTAAGAAATTCCTACTTTGTCCCTAGTTCTTAACATCAGAAATCCCTACTTTGCCCTACTTTTTGGTAAAAAAATGCCCTACTTTTTCCCTAGTTTTTTTGGTAGAGGCAGTAGAAAGCCTGTAAATGGTTTTCGGAGCATAACTTAAGTCCCATTTGGCCCACAATATTCAAACTTCATAGGATGATTGTTCATATTGGGTAGACAGTGTTTCTGCCAGCTCTGATTTTCTGAGGGTCTTTTATGACCCCCTGTATGATATTTTAGGGGTCAATTCAAATTCATAAGGGTCATGCCAATAAATTTAACAAAAATGTAAAAAAACAACAGGTAGCATGGGACTCCGTATTATCAGCGTACTTAACATTTCCTATATGTCCTGCATTGAATTTCATTGATTAATTTAATTTAATAATAAATATTCTGTGTAAAGCAGTACAAATTCAATTAATCATTACATTTTTTATTGAATGGGGTCAAAGATTTTTAATTTCAATGTATACATGACAAAATACTGAGAGTACGTCGGTAATAGAGTTGCGCCGATAATACAGAGTTAGAGTATAACACTTTATAAGTTTTATTTTCTAAGGCACTTTACTTCTTGCCAGAGAACATATATGTACCATCATGTAGTTCAACTATATGTGAATAAAAATATTGTTAAATACTTGTTTTTGTGTTATATTTTTAAATAGTCATGGCCGAAAATAGTGCGCTAAAAACGCAAAAACGCGCTCTGGCAGAAACACTGGGTAGAAGACCCCTATTGATTTTGGGGGTCACAAGGTCAAAGGTCAAGGTCACTTTTACCTTAAAACTGAAAATGGTTTCCTGAGTATAACTTAAGTTCCATTTTGCCCACAATGTTCAAACTTCATAGGATGATTGTTCATCTTGGGTTAAAAACCCCTTATGATTTTTAGGTCACAAGGTCAAAGGTCAAGGTCACTATTACCTTAAAACTAAAAATGGTTTCCACTCAATAACTTAAGTATAAATCAACCTACAGCTGTAAAATTTTATAGGATGAACAGCCATATCTAATACATAACCCCTATTTATTTTAGGATCATAAAGTCAAAGGTCATGGTCATAATGATTTTTACACTGAAAATTGTAATTTTTGAAACATAACCAAAGTTCCATTTGGCCATCAGTGTTCAAACTTTATAGGATGATTGTCAATATTGGGTAGAAGACCTGTATTGATTTTTGGGTCAGAAGGTCAAAGGTCAAGGTCACTATTACCTTAAAACTGAAAAAGGTTGCCTTTCAATAACTTAAGTATTAATCAACCTACAGCTGTTACATTTTATAGGATGAACAGCCATGTCCAATACATGACCCCTATTGATTTTAGGGTCATAAGATCAACGGTCAGGGTCACAATGACCTTAACACTGAAAATTGTGTTTTCTGGAGCATAACACCAGTTCCATTTGGCTTACAGTGTTCAAACTTCATAGGATGATTGCCTATATTGAATAAAAGAGCCATATCTATATTGGGGCCACAAGGTCAAAGGTCAACATCAAATTACATTAATATTGTTTACAGTTTTACAATTGTCAAACTTCATAGGATGATCACTTATATTAAGTAAATTAATTATATGCCCTAAAAAAATAAATTGCTTATATTATGTTATACCCCTGTTGTCTTTCTGTCCTTCTGTCGTAGTATATTTACTTACAAGATAACATCTTGATGGTGGTGCTTTAGTAACAGCAACTGTAACTATATATATGAAAGTTCTTCAGCTATAAAGGAGGATTGCTTTTTGAAGGAGGTTATACTTTATTCAATTCCCATGCCTTACAAGTGCTTCATCCTTACTAAAAAAAAACTTTCGGGCATATAATGCTTCGCCTAGCAGTGCTCTTGTTTGTTTTATGAAAATGTTAACACCAGCAGCCTCCATTTTGAATAAAGGCTTAAATTTAAATAACAAATGTCTTCTTTACAGTGAGTTCTCTCATTTACAGATATTGTTTTCACCAGAAGAGAAACAAACCATGAACACACCCAAGATGTACCAGGTTAAGATGCAGAAGGCTTGAGCTGCCCTGAAAAAATTTCTGTATGCCTTCTTGAAGCAGCAGAATATTTTCCAGATGTCCCCACCGATGACACAAGTGGGTTGGGTAAAACCAGACAGAAACCAACAAAATCAACAGAATAATGTGCATGGAACAAGATCGAAGAAAAGGAAATTAAAAAGCTGTTTGAAACATTCAGTGGCCCAAGCCATCCGATTACTTAAAGGCCATCAGTATTAGCCAAAAGAGAGGTATATTGATTTGAAAAAGAAAAAAAGGATATGCTGAAGAAGAAAGTTTTTAGGATGACAGACAGATTAAAGTTGTCTTTTAAAGTTGTTTTTTATGCCACCTCAGCATCTGCGATAAGATGCCGTATAGAGATTCAGCTGTTAGTTTGTGTGTACCTGTGTGTGTTACAGAGATAACTTAAAAGATCTTCTTGTAAAAAACCACTTGTCCCATTCCAAACAAACTTGGCAGGATTGTTACTTGGGCAAACTTATAATAATTAGCTCTGATTAACACTCCGCATTTAGATCTGATCAAATATAAAATCATTTCTGGTGACCTTTCACACAGTCAATCATTGGCGAGCTTTCATAATTTTGATGGCATAGTCCATAATAGCCAACATGTTAATTGGCAAAACAAATCTTGCCCATTAAAAATTGACTTATTATTTATTAAAAAAAAAAATTCTAACAAAAATCAACAATGTCTTTAACTTCCATGTTATAAGGGTATTTAAATACTTCTTCAAATGTCTTTGTAAAAACCGGTTTGATTGCTTGGCTAAAAATAGCTTTCTCAGGAAATCCGAATTATAAAGAAGGCGAAACATATAAGTCGTCATCAGATCCCCGGGGGGTCATTGATTTTCTTATTTGTATATAGTAAAATCTTAAGAAACCTTCTTTTAAAAGCCCCAAATAGCTAAAGCTTAGATATTAAGCATTAAACATCTTCTAGTGGGTGTCTATCAAGTTTGTTCAAATAAAAGCCCTGTGTCAAATTGGCCCCGCCCAAGTGGGTCATTGTTTTTCCCTTTATGTATATGGTAAAAACTGAAAAAATCTTCTTTTAAAAACCCCCAAGAGCTAAATATATAAGATCTTTTGCATGAAATATCTTCACATGGGTGTCTACCATTTTTGCTCAAATAAGGGCCCTGGGGGTTAAAATTGGCCCCGCCCTGGGGATCATTGATTTTCCTTATATGTACAGTGAAAACTCTGAAAACCGGACCCTCTGAAAACCGGACCATTTTAAAAGTCCCGTATTTTCTCCTTATATGTTCATTGAAAAACATCCTCTGAATACCGGAACCTCTGAATTCCGAAAACCGGACGCTTTTCTGTGGCTTCTAATGCTAAACATGCATAAAAAATCCTCTGAAAACCGGACAGCAATTTTAAGTGTCAACTTTCTGTGTATTTTAAAGTATATTAAAACCTAATCTCAAACAGGTGACATGTTCAATTACCAGTTAATGATCACCCTTTTTATCTATGCAGGTGTGAAAACACTTGTGTGTGTTAATTTATTATTGGCAATTAAATCATAGCTCTTTCATTATAATTGTGCCTTTTCCCTGTATAGTATGATTTTTCTAAATGTATTTAATTTGTTGTGTGTTTTTTTCTTCTTTAAATATAAAATGTCTAAAAGAATTAGAAACTTTTGTAAAATGATTCCTGTTTTTGCTAAAAAAAATTGATCTTTGTTTAGATATTTATTATATGCAAAAGTAGTAATACTAAATTCCATTAATATTTACATATTTAAAAGCCAATTAAAACAAGATATATTTCAGACAATGTGTTGTTTAAATTTCTGATTTTCTGAATTATATCATGGATTTGCATAGTAAAATTACTTAAGACATTTATTGTTAAAAGAAATTAAAATATGACTTTGACAAAAATGTTAAAAAGTAAATACATGACTGTACAAAATGTTTTAACAAAGTCATTGTTCAAACACATCATAATTATCAATAAATGTATAAAACCTCTGAAAACCGGAATCCTCTGAAAACCGGACTTTTGGTCAAGTCTGGAGAGGGTCCGGTTTTCAGAGTTTTTACTGTATATAGTAAAAACTTAAAAAATCTTCTTACAGCTAGAGCTTAGATATTTATCATGAAACATCTTCAAATGGGTTTCTACCAAGTTTGTACAAATAAAAGCCCCAGGGTTAAAATTGGCCCCGCCCCGGGGGTCATTGATTTTCCTTATATGTTTATAGCAAAAATCTTCTTTGAAAAAACCCAAATAGCTAGAGTTTAGATATTAAGCATGAAACATCTTCTAGTGAGTGTGTACAAAGTTTGTTCAAATAAAAGCCCTGGGGTCAAAATTGGCCCTGCCCCGGGGGGTCATTGATTTTCCCTACATGCATATAGTAAAAACTTAAAAAATCTTCTTTGAAAAACCCAAATAGCTAGAGTTTAGATATTAAGCATGAAACATCTTCTAGTAAGTTTCTACAAAGTTTGTTCAAATAAAAGCCCTGGGGTTTTTCATTATATGTGAGTAGTAAAAACTTATCATTGTGAAACATCTTCTAATGAGTGTCTTCCAAGATGTTCAAATAAAAGCCCTGGGGTTTAAACTGGCCCCGCTCCGGGGGCCTACATACAGGTGAGCGACCTCAGGGCCATCATGGCCCTCTTGTTTAGTAGAAATTTGTGTACAAATGTGATCTATGCTCATAATACAATCAAGCAGGTCATTATGACCATGAAACAAAGCATATTGTCTTATATTGTTAATATGTTCATATACATGTATATCTCCTGCTGAGCATACTTTCAAATCATCAGCCAGAGCTCCTTGATTTTTTCAGCAATTAGTTTTTAGCTTGACTATACAAAGTATATGGAGAGTTGTCCTACTCACCCCGGCGTCCGCGTCCAGATTTCAGATTAAAGTTTTGGTGCAGTAAAATATTTTTCACTATTACTTTGTCATTTCATAAGGTATCAATTTATGTTAACAATGTTATTTTTGTGCCCTAACTATAGGGTGGCATTTTGATTTACCCTTGTCTGTTTGTCCATCCATCCGTCGTCCATCCGTACATTTGTTTCCTTTTAGTGTCGCAAGTAGCTCAAAAGGTAATTGACATAGAGTCATGAAACCTTACAGGAATGTTAATCACCATGTGAAATTCTGCACCTGGGAATTTTAGTTGGATATATTTAGTATTTTTAGAGTTATTGCCCTTGACTTAGTAAAAATTTCCAATTTCAACTTGTGTCACATGTAACTCAAAAAATAATTGACCTAGAGTCATGAAACCTTACAGGAATGTTGATCAGCATGTGTATTTTTGCACTTGGGTATTTTTGTGTGGATATTTTTAGTATTTTTAGAGTTATTGCCCTTGAATTAGTAAAAATTTCCAATTTTCAACTTGTATGGCATGAAACTAATAAAGTATTTGATCTAGAGTCATGAAACCTTACAGGAATGTTGCTCAGCATGTGTAGTTGTGCACAATGGTATTTTCTGTGGATATTTTTAGAGTTATTGCCCTTGACTTAGTAAAAATTTACAATATTTAACATGTGTTGCACGTAACTCAAAAAGTTTATGACCTGTAGGCCTGAAAGTTTACAAGAATGTCAGCATGTGCACTTATGCACCTTGGGGTTTTCTTGTGGATTAATTCAGTATTTGTAGTATTTGCCCTTTACTTAATGAAAGATTTTTAGTTTTCAACTTGGGCGCATGTAATATATTTAATTGATTTTTCTTTCATATTTTTGTCTTCCTTACTGTGTCCAGTATTTTATTAGTCGAGCTTCGCTGTCTGCTGTGACAGCTCTTGTTACACTACCCGATTTTAAATTCAATAAGTTTTTTTTAGAGATCTAGGAATTTTTTTTAATTTGTCGAAGGGTCATATTAAATGGGTACTACATGTATTTTATAAAGCATCAAATGAGCACCTACACCATCAGCAATGAAAGGCAAGGTTCTGTAATGTTTAGTCAACTTCTTTCTCACGATTTTAATCCGACATTTGCTATTTGCTCAGACTCAATTCCACACACAATTTCCTCATTGGATTTATCCAGTCTTTTTAGCTGTCTGTCATTTTATCGCTCGTTCCAAACGTCATTTTCGATTGATTTTCTGGAAGGCAGGTCACTCTCAGCACATGACAAAACTGTGCAAATGTGGTGTTGTGATACGTTATTGCTCTGACAAAATATGTCAATATAAATATTACAGTCTGAAAACTGTTTCTTTCTTTCCGATTTTGAAACGATTGCAATTGTTATTCAATTCTTTTTTAAACGACAAATTATTTGTGAACGTCATTTAATAGATACTTTTACACCGAATTTCTTATATTTTGGCCAACATTTAGTGGAAACTGGCCGCAATATTAAAAGTCATTTATGGAATACACTTATATTGAAAAAATCATCGGGAGGGATTTTATGCAGCCGCTTATTAAAAAAAGTCGCTTGATAAAGGTGGACGCAATTATGATGCTGACTGTATTAGGATATTTTTCAAAAATGTTTGTCAACTTTTTATGCTACCTCCAATGCGGTGGCATATAGCGATTCACCTGCGTGTGTGTTTGTGTGTGTGTTCTATAGGTTATATAATGAACTTAAAAAATCTTCTTGTGAAAAACCCCTAGTCCGATTTCAACCAAACTTGGCAGAATTGATCCTAGGGTGAAGGGCTTCCAAAGTTGTTCAAAGAATTTTATTCCATGCAGAAATCTGGTTGCTATGGCAACCAAAAGGAATTATAAGAATAAATTTAAAAAATCTTCTTGTAAAGACCCAAAAGGCTTAGAGCTAAGATATTTTGCATAAGGCATTGTCTGGTAGACCTCTACCAAGATTTTTCAAATTATAGCCCTGGGGTTAAAATCGGCCCCGCCCCGGGGGGTCATTGATTTTCACTAAATGTACATATAATAAAAAATTAAAATACCTTCTTGTAAAGACCCAAAAGGCCTAAAGCTTAGATATTTTGCATAAGGCATTGTCTGCTAGACCCTTACCAAGATTGTTCAAATTTATAATAGCTCTGGGGTCAAAATCGTCCCCGCCACGGAGGTCATTGATTTTCACTATATGTACATATAGTAAAAACTTAAAATACCTTCTAGTAAAGACCCAAAAGGCCTAGAGCTTAGATATTTTGCATAAGGCAGTGTCTGGTAGACCTTTACCCACATTGTTCAAATTATAACCCTGGGGTCAAAATCGGCCCCGCCCCGGGGGTCATTGGTTGTCCTTATATGTATATAGTAAAAACTTATACCTGTAGTAAAAACTTTAAAAAAAATTTCTTCTAGCAATTGACAAATGCTAGAGGTTAGATATTTTGCATGAAACATTATGTAGTGAACCTCTAGCAAGATTGTTCAAATTATAGCCCTGGGGTCAAAACTGCCTTTGCCCCGGGGTTCATTGATTTTCAATATATACATATAGTAAAAAAATCTTATTGTCTGGAGGTACAAAGCTTAGTGTTGTATTTATGTGGTTGCATAGCATTTTTCTCAAATGTAATCTTGTTTAATGCCTTGTGTGACTAAAAATGGCCAAAAAGATCAAAGGAAAAGTCACATAAGAACCATTTTGTGAGTACGTCCGTCCGTTGTTTTGTCCGGAGCATTACTTGAAAACCCTTGGAATTTATTTGTTTAAACTTCATGCA